GGCCGTCCACTTTCCCGCAGCCCTGCGTTACTCAGCCACTCGGCCAGGAAGTGAATCTCCGGTGGGATGGGCAGGAAATAGTTAAGCAAGTGGCGTGCAATGGGCTGCACTGGCCTGGCAGGTCCTGGACCCCATCCTCACCCTCCGGTGTGGGCACTGTGGCCGTCACCAGCTCCAGGTGAGGCTGGAGGAGAGGAACATCAGGCAGGGCTGAGGATTAGGTGCTCCAGCCCAAGGGACGTGCCTCCTTCTGGTCCCCTCTGCCCGTAGGATCTCCCTGGTGTCCCGCAGGCAATGTCCTTCCTTGGTTCCCACGCCAGCCTGGCGTGGCACGGCTGAGCACACGTGCCATCCAAGGGGAGAAGCCAGTAACCCCAGTGCTGCCAGCAGCCTGGGGGAAGCAGCCATGTCCCCTCCCTGGGCCAGCTACAGTACCCAGCAGCCAAGCAGGGGTGCTGCAACCCCACTCGGTGCCTGCAAACCTGCATCTCCAACGCACTGCTGCACAACCTGGGTCATCCCTGAAAACCTCCCTTGCCTTTTCTCTCCTCCAGACTGCGGACTGGGGGCCCAGTCAGCTCCTAAGGACAGGGAGACAAAGGCACCGGAGTGACAGCAAGCGCCAACATGCCCCCTCCCGCCTCGCAGCAGCTGCATGGGGTAAGGGCAGGGCCTGCCAACCGGCATCACTTTTGTGAGCAATGTTCCTCCAGTCGAGGAGCCAGTGCTGTCCAGCTCAAGGTTGGGACGTCTGTGCTACAGCCAGACTGCTGGCACGGCCCTTTGGCCTCGCTCTGCTCTCTACATGCCACCTCCTGCACCACTGGGGACAGGGAAATACACGTCCAAGCTAAACCCAGGGGACTGGTTTTGCTGGGAAGCTGAATTTAACGCAGGCACAGGGTGGTTTGACATTTGCGGCTTGGGGCGTTGAGGGACGGCTGTCCCCAAAATTGCAGGTTTCCTGCCAGGGAGATGCTGCCACGGTGCCCGCAGGACCTGTGCCGTATCCGACCGGCCAGGCACCGCGGGCAGGACTGGCCACGGGCAGGTACAAGGGCTGGTGTTTTCTTGCTGGCAGCACCAGGTCGGGAAAACCTGCTGCCTAGCTCGGTTTCTGTTTGGGAGGGTATTTAAGGTGTTCTCCAGGGTGTGCCAGCCCTGGCCTCCACCCTGCTTTCATAAGCGCCCTCTCCAAAAGGAGCTTGTTGTTCTCGGTCGTGGAGCAGAGGCAATTAGCACCGGCGAGGTTCCCCTGCGATCGGGCTGCCAATGTGCAGAGCAGCGATGGGTCCCATCTGTGCTGGCGACCCAGGAACAGCCACGTCCCCTCACCAGGCCCAGGACAGGCAAAGCCCAGCTCCATCACGAGCCCGGTGGGATGCAGCAACGCAGACAGCCAGGGGGAGTTGGAAGCCAGGGGACACCTCCTGGCCCAGGGGGTTCGAACACCCTGTCCTGCAAGGGCTGCATCCCCGTACCTTGCAGGAGACAACCTAGTTGGAAACCAAGGACCAAACTCAAAGCCAAGCAACACGCACAAGGCCAAAGAGCAGGCGCTTGCTCTGGGGCTGCTGGCACCTCTGACAGCCACCCCTGTGCCCACAGACCGTCCTCCTCACCCCACCTGGGGCAGCCGTGGGCCTGAGCCCATCTCTTGGGCTCTGCAACGCTGCGTTGGTGCCACAGCTCAGTTTTGGTCTCTTGCTGAGGCATGGAGGTGACCACTTTGGCCTTGGGGCTCAGCAATCCCAAGCAGCATCTCTGGGCTTGGCCTCAGCTGTGCAGTGACATGTCCTGTGGCACTTGGGTACCGTCACATCACCATACCTTTTCACTGGTTCTTTGGAGGAAAGACAAGTCAGAGAAGGGATTTCTGTCAGCATCAGCCCAACATCAGCAACTGCTTGGGTGCTCCTAAGCAAAAAGGCAAAGTTAGGGAGTGTGCAACCCCCAGCAGCCCCCAAATACCCGCTGCATCCCAGTGCCCGGGGTGCAAAAGGCTCCAGTGGGTGCCAAGCCAACAGCTCCACTTCTCTCTATCATCCACAGGGATGAACTGGTCCCAGTTGCATTGGAGTGACAGCAATGTGAGCCAGGGCAAATCGCTCCTCTCCCATGGCCGGCACAAACCCAAAGGCACAATTCATCCCCGGGGGAATTGGAGCCAGGAGCTGGTTTGTGGCGGGCAGCTGGCGCTCTGCCGTTATCCAGAGCAAGGGCAGAAGCCTTGGATGAAGTCACACACGTGCATGAGGAAGGGGGTGAATTTAGCCACTGCAGCCTCACCTGAATATTGGCCTTAGGTTACAGGTCCAGCTCGCAGCAGGACCTGGCGCTTGTCCTTCTGCCACGCCATATCCTTGCTGCCCTGCAGCCCCAGCGGGCAGTGGGTCCCATCCTGGTCTCCCAGACCCAGTCCCGGCAGAGGGAGCTGTGACATTAGTGAGCCAAGCCACCACTCTCCCTGCTGGGATGGCAGCCCCGGGCTTTGGAGAGGGACCAAAGAAAACAGTGCTGGGGCCCAGGCGCCCTGCAGCCTTCGCAGAGAACTTGACGACTCAGCACATCTGATCGCTCGCCCTTTTGCCTGGAAATCAAGCCAAGAGTTATGCAGAACTGGTAATTTCAAATATAAAAGCACTTCTAGCTCTAAAAATCACTTTAAAAATCCTTCTCAGTTTGCATCTGTGCAGAAAGACCTTGGACCTTCAGTGCAGCAGCGGTGTTTAGTGGATGCCGGAGCATCTCTGTGTGCAATGGCACGTGGCTGGGACCCCACACCTCCTCTGGTGGGGCTTCAGCCACTCAGGGGCCAGTAGGACAGAGTACCACCTTGCAAAGAGTATTTCTTGCTTGCAAAGGGTATTTTTCCTCCCCTACAAACCCCCACTCCCAGGGCGTGCGCAGGCAGGGAGCAGCACAGCTTCACACCAAACAAATCCCCATCCTCCAAACAGCCAAACCACAGCCTCCACAGCTCCGAAGGGACAAGTGTGGTCCAGATTCCAGCCAGACCCAGGGTGAGCACAGACAGACTGCCAGGAGTCACTGTGCTCAGGTCATTCCTTATCATTTGCATCCTTGAGATAAGGCTGGATAAGCAGTACCAGTCACAACATGCGGCGTATCGCTGGTCTGGTAGTTCACATCACATCCTGAACAGGCACGTCACCAGCACCCCACGGCAAGGGGCTGTTGACTCTCTCCCGTTAGGACATGTCACTGCCCAGGCCCCCATCCTGCTGCTGCACCCCAGAAACACTCCTGCCACCCAGGAGCCATCCATAGATCATGCATGTAAAACGGTGCAGTGGAGCTGCCAGCTGAGGGCTCGGAAAGAGAGTGCAAGGGTCATCGAGAGATACGATGGGTCCGTACAGAACACGCTACGGTTCAGAGCTGTGTTTTGAGCACTGATGCATCAGGGATGCTTGGGAGAGGCTCTGGGCTGCAGCCCACTGCTACGCTCAGTCCTGGGAAGCTCCTGGAGGCAAAAGGTCCTTTGCACACAAACTGCTGAAGCAGCTCCAGTGCCCTGGAGAGATGGGACAGAAATGTTGCCTCCGTGGGACAGCCATTTGACCACTGGAAGGCCAACACGTTCAGCCAACCATCTTCATTTTGGATTGTTGCCCTCAAGACAGCACAGACTGGACTCACGGATGTGCTGAGCATGCGCCAAGTTGGCTAAAGCCAGGGCTGGCACATCTCAAGCTGAACAGCTCCAAGCCACAGTAATCAAAACTCCCTTCCAAAAACACAGCATCAAACACTGCAACCAAGAACCAGGAGAGAGACCACGGCTCCCCACCCCTCTGCTCCTCCAGCCCAAACCCCAAATCAACCACTTGCTCAGGAAAGAACGGATCGTAATTATTTATTTTGGGTCCCTTTGAAAATACCATCACGCATCTCCTTCCAGTGGTGGCTTCGCGCGGTCTCTCAGCCTGTGACAGCCCAGCGTCCCGGCCAGCTGCGCAGCACAGTGCTTCCCCCAGCGAGCAGGCGACCATCGTCCCTTCAAGGTTGGCAGGTTGGAGCTGCCTGGTCCGATCTCAGCAGTCGTCCCTCTGTACCAGGTACTGCCTGGGAGCATCGCACAGACAGGGAGCAGAGCGAGGGTGCAGGAGGGCAGCCCAGAGGGACCGGTGGGGATGGCTGTAGCTTTCAGCTGCCCCAGGAAGGGAGTTTCTGGCTTGTGTTTTCTGGCAACTTAGAACTGGGTTTGTTTCTCAATCGTTAAAAAAAAAAAAAATGATGCTGCTGCTATCTGCAAAGGGAGAGAGAAAAATCTATCAGCACCCTGAGGATCTAAGACTGAGCTGTACTGAAAGCCTGTAAAACCAGCAAGAGGCACGCAGATATTTGAAGGCTGGGAAGCCTGAACAACACAGTGGATTGGAGCGTCAGCAGACGTGACAGCGGGGAGACCCACGCTAATGCCTTCCCTTCACCTCTGTGGCAGGCACATGGTCTTTCGAACCAAACCAACCAAACCCTGGAAACACCATAAACCAGCAACAACTCCAACCCAGATATGCAGTCTCCAAAGGTCTGAGTAAGATCTCAAGCACTTGGGGAAGGATTCCCAATGCCACTGGGCACTGCCGTCAGCCTGCTCCCACCGGGAATTGCGGCTGATTTCCTAACGCCTTCAAAAGGTGAAGAGTCAAGACAAGCCTGAGCGTGGTTGAAAATCCCAGCTACAGGTCGCAGAAGAACCAGACCACAGAGCAGTCTGCATTCATACAGGTTATGAAACAAATCAAGGGCTTTACGTCCTGCCCAGCCACATTAGGGCTGTTGAGTAATGAACTAACACTATTGCCACCTCTCTGAACTCTCATCGTTTCCACACGAGCAGGAATTTGCCCACACACAGAAGCACTGAGGTTACCTGGACTCCTACTCTTCCAAGTGGGCTGAGAGCAAGACCTTACAATATCCACATCTCCACCTGCTGAAGGGTTTAATTGCTCAGAGGCCCCATCTCTTACTTACAGTTCAGTGTCTACAATGACGTCTGGCTTCTCCAGAGTTTGCCGTCTCCTCTGGATGGCATCCACAATCTTTTTCCTGGGGCCCAATGGGATATTGATGCTTTTCAGGTCATTGTCTGAACATAGCATGAGGGCCTCCAAGTCAATCTTTTCCTTCTTCAAGATGGAGATGAACTCAAACATGTGCAGGGAAGCCAGAAAAGTCTCCAAGGGGCTGGTGTCTGGTTCGTCGTCATCATCTAAGCCCAGCTCCACCTCATCCCAGGGTAGCTCCTCTGCGTTCCTCTCCTGCAGGCTGTTGGCACTGCCAATGCTGTCATTGAGACTTGGCGAGCGCTGCAGGCGGCTCCGCAGTTTGACACCTACCCCATCTGCATTGTCTTCACCCAGCGTGCCAGCATCCTCCCGGCCGATCCCAAAAAGCCCGCTGCTGACGTAGTTGCGCCGGAACACCATGGTGCCCAGCCCGGGGCGGTTGAACAAGGAGTCGTGGCCGGAGTCGGTGCTGACTTCCGAGTGGGCCGAGTCCACGTGCAAACCTGGGTCACTTATGGCACGGGAGACAGTGTCTTCATCCGTGAGGAACATGTCTCTGATATTACGTCGAGTCCACTCCTTGGGGCTGGCATATGTGCCCTGCTTCACAAACATGACGTCGTTCCCCAGCTGCAGGCCAGACAGAGACCGCACGCTTTTCCTCCCATCCTCATAGATCTTGAATGTCCCATCCACCTGCTTCTTCTTCTCTAGCTTCTTTTGTATTTTTGTCTTTCCCTTGGCTGTGCCATGGATGGTGGCTTGTGAGTATGGCAGGGAAGTCACCATAGACATGTGCTGGAACTTCTTGCTTAAGGTGCTGCTCGAATAGCTGGAGAAGCTCATGGTATCCGAATTATCAGACATCTCCTTTCTGTACCGTTTCTCCATCCTTTCGTGGTGCTTCTTCTGCAGCTTCACACAGTCCTTAATCCTCCGCTCTGCGTCCCGAAAGGCCTTGTCCTTCAGTTTGCTCACCAGCTTGGGGTTGAGGCTGCTCTGCTTGGCAGCAATAGAGTCCAGGTATCGCACACACTCCATATGCCCCTTCATGGCTGCCATGTCCAGCGGGGTGTGGTAGTCATTGTCCAGGCACCAGATGTTGGCCCCAAAAGAGATGAGGAAGGAAAGGCAGTTCAGGTGGCCGTTGGCTGCTGCCAGGTGGAGAGGGGTGTTCCCCCAGATGTCACATTTGTCTGGATCGCCCCTAGACAGCAAGAAAAACAACCGGTTAGCATGCAGGCATGGCTGGCAGACTCTGCTGAGATATTCCTAGCTGTGCAGGGGCAAATCAGCACCATCAACTGCTGCCTTCTCAAACTATGAAGCTACTTGCTGCTGGCCCCCACAGCTTAATGTGAAAGGGGGCTTCTGGGGGGTGTACCACTGAAATGGAATCAAGTGCCTGACACACAAGTCTGCGGTAATTCCCATGACTTGAATTTGGCTCTCAGGAGACATATGTTCCTGCATCAAAGCAACTTTTAGAGGGAGGCAAGTCAGATTCCGAATAGCCCAGAACTGAGATATGGAGCCGATTCCAGCTCAGACCTAAAGCTTGTTATAAAATTTCAAATCTCAAACATCCCATTCAATTCTAGTCATATTCTATCTTCAGATCTTGGCTTTATTCAGATTCTGTGGAGAGACACACCAAAATACATTCCTGTACACCACATCCTCTGTGGGACACCATGGGGTCCTGCCCTGGTGGTAGCACCACCACGAAACAGCCATCCTCCGCAATGCTCCTGAAACCCATTAGCTGCTGCACCTTCCCACCCTCCTGTTCATTGCTGCCTGGGGAAATTTAGGGCACAAGAGGGCACGCTGTGACTAGAGAATAAGAGCAAAGTTGCTGGCATTGGCCTTGGGGTTGGGGTTTTGTGGGGTTTTTCCTGTACCACGCTTGGTCGCAATTGCATGGCTTGAAGCACATTGGTGTTAGCACATCCCGAGAATCCAGTTTCAGAGAAAGTGGAGATTAGGTTTCTGCACTCCTCAAGAGCTGGACACTCGACTAATGCCATCAGCATCTCTTCTCACACCGTGCTGGCCCCTACCCCAGCAAGCTGCTGACAGGGCACAACCGCTTGCCCACATCTGCCTCCCATGAACAGGATGGGATTCAAGGGAAGTCTGTCCTCCTGACATTCCTCTGTATTTGTGATCTGCTGAAACAAGAGACAGTTCACACCCCTGCTGGCACCAGCCTTCGCCCGAGCGCGTGTGCTAATGATATGCAGCCAGCAGCAGTATCTGTCAACAAGGCGCCCTCCCTTCGTGCACATGGATCAGGCAAAGCCTTTGATTAAGGCTGCGCAGCTCCACCACCCTCAAGAGCAACTCCCCGTGGGCAGAGCTGTAGCTCAGCACAGCTTCTGCCTGTTCCTGCACCACCCTTTCAATGAGCTCTAGAGGAACTGAGCACTGCCCCTTCACCACAAAGACGTCAGCTCCAAGCCCTGGTGATGCCAGGAGTCTGGAAGGCAAATGCACACTTGAGACCTTCAGCCTGTGTTACTTTACTCCTTGCTGCTTCAGGACCTGTGCTGACAAAAGCTGAGAGCAGCAGAGCCCAGAACCCCCGACTAAATGCCATGTGCTCCGTGCTATGGCTCTTCTTGCTTGAAGGAATCTGAAAACTCCTTCAGAGGAAGAGCATGGAGATCACAGGATCCGAGGGACTTCTTTTTCCTGCTGCTTTACACCTTCATCACTAGTACCCATGCACAAGACCCAGGAACAGCCTCGTCCAGCACATTCACCCTCCCATACTGCAGGCAGGCTGCCTGCTGCCCACTCTGGAGGCTGCTGTTCAGGGAAGAGCAGAGCTGGAGCAGAGCCACTCAACTGGTGCAATGAGTGATTTGCAGTCCTCAGGCTTTGCTGAGGAAGTGAAATGATTCTGCAAAGGCAGAAGCAAGAAAGACAGCGTCTAGAGGTTAAGCTGGAGATTATTTAGACCCAGAACATGAACTTTTTGGCTGTATTCTCCGAGAGCTGCTATGAGGTGTGCTCAGCTTTCCCCAGGTGGGAGCATCAGCAGTAGCTCCACCATGCACATATCTTCACAAAACTTGTAGAAACCTATTAAGTACAACCTTGAGCCTTCCAGCAAACACAGCAAGTTAGTCAAAAGGTTCAAAACTGTGTAAGACCCACAAACCCCGCAGGACTTCTGTATCTGCAGCCTTTGGCATCTCTTGTAGAAGCAGAGAAAGGCTTCAAAGATGCTAGGGAAGAGAAGGGCAGGAGATCGTAGGGTTGAGGAGCTGTGAAGCCAGCAGAAGGAGAGGAGGGATCTGCCAGTACTGCAGCAGCGCCGAGTTTCCAGGAGCAGTAACTCCCCAGCCCTCGCCTCTACCCTCGTAGTGACATGTCGAGGCTGGGAAATTCACGGGGAGGATAAATATTTGATGAATTGCAAGAAAGGAGTAAATTATTGATGGAGCTGGATTAAAGAGCCAGTGAAACTGGAACTGCCGGTGCTGGCAGTGGGAATCCAGCGCGTGAAGGGTTGTTCGTTTGTTGACGTGTGCTCTGAATGGGCCCACGTGTGCCTGACCTGTGCGGGCAGATGAGTCAGGGCACCATGAGGGTCCTGACACGTATGTGGACTCATGATGCGGACAGCGTTAGCAGCAGACTCACTAGAAATCATCTTGCTCCCCAAGCCAAGTGTATGGATGCTCGATCCATAAAGTACGTCTCAGAGCCCATTCTCATGTCTGTCTGGTTCAGTTGGAAAAGAGTAAAGCCAGGGATGTCTTGGTGGATTCATATTTGAAAGTCTACTTTCCTCATGCTTTTCACCACCTCAGAGAGAGAGGAGAAAGAGCATCGAAAGCAGCTTTCCCTGGACACTTCCACTGTCTACAAACAAGAGTATTACAGCAAAATTAGATCTCTAGGTCCCTTTGCCCTATAATGCCTGCCGCAGGCACTGAAAATGCATCAGAAGGAAAGGAGAATGGCGCCTCGCAAAGTAGAGGTGTTTGATCAGGCACAGATAATAAACATGAGGCCCTCCCTCTCGCAGGTGTCTGTCCCAGCAAAACTTCACCTCCAGGGCGCTGCGCACGAGGAGATGCTGACTGCAGGGTCCACTAAGTGGGAACATATTTTAATAACAGGTGTGAAGTGCAGCACTTCTCGACTTCAAAGCATTTTCAAGTGCTGAGTCAACTCCTGTAATAACCATTATTAAAAACGCTGCTAATTGAGCCCCTTAGGTGGACATGTGCATCTCCTGAGTCATTGTGTTTGCACTGTGACACGCACACTCACTCCCTTCCTGCCGGTTTTTCCCCTCCACTTCTCCCATAGGATCCCAATTAGCCGGGGAATCCAGCGGCACTTACATACGTCCTTCCCTGGCTGCACGTGTGAAGTTCCTCTGATAGCAATGGGCTGGCTCATGCCCTGGCTCATGGGGTGTGTGTGAAGGATCGGGCCCTCAGACCAGGAGCCAGCTGGGTGCAGAGTGTCTCTGGCTCCCATAAAATATTTCTGGCTATAGGGAGAGGGAAAAAATAAATTTATGGCTTGAGGAAAAAAGCCTAGCAGCTTCAGCGTAGCCAGTCAGGGCAATGACCCAAGCAAAGGCTAGAAATGAGCAGAAAAGATGAGGTTTTGGACCCAGAGCAGAGCCTTGGCTCCCGTATCCCAAATTCTGTCCAGGTGGTGGTAGGTGAAGGACTCAGCTTTTCTCCAAGTTCAGATCCCCAAGAATCCAGCACAGATGCTGTAGGTGAGGTTCATCCCAGGGCTCTCTGCCTCTTGTCCCAGCAGAAAACTAGGCTGGCAGTTATTGTTACTGGTGATTATTAATGCTGGCTGCGCTGTGGTAGTGCCTACGGGCACGTCTACCGGCTCAGCACTTCGCCGTGCCCAGACCTCGCGCTGACTCCAAGCAGCCAGCTCAGGTGCTGGAAGCGACCAAGCTGCGACCGCGCTCCACCCTGCTCCTCCACCTTCCCAGCAGGTCATCGCCCAGGGAAGGTCCCCACTGACACGGCCACGCTGCTCCTGGCGCCCACGTGGCCATCAGCCCTGTGGCGTGCAGAGGGTGCACATCACCTTCACGTGCCTTGCTGCAACCTCCACTGCAACCCTACCCCGGCCAGGGCGACGTAACTCCTTTGAGCGGCCTGGCTGATGTCAGGAGCCATCTCGTCCCCTCCAACCCACGGCTGAGCCGCTCACACCCCTCTGCCATTAACATCCAAAGCATCCGTGGTCCCTGTTTTTGTAAGAAGGGAAACTGAGGCACACCTCTGCAAAGAAACAGCAGGTGACAAACCTGACTGCGGACCTCTCGAGCAGAAAGACGCCTCCTCACCTCTCCTGTGGTCCACCCCAAGGCAAGAAAGTCCTGGCCGTTCCCAGCCGAGGCCCCTAGACCCGTGGTTAACTGGAGCTTGACTGATGCCGGCCACTGCCACAGCAGTTCATAATGAACCACCACGCTGAAGAATTACTGCCTCTGAAAAGCTGCAATGCTAAATGCCAGTTAGCCTGCCTTTCTTCCCAGCCATCATGTTAATTGAGTTTGCTTCCCTCCCTGGAGACCAGCCAGCAGGAAGAAAAAGGCTTTTTGTGTGGCAAACAAGAAGGACGAGCCACTGCTGATCCCTTAGTCCCAAACCCCCTCTCCACACCCATGCAAAGGTGGCCGTGGAGGCACAGGTATCACCAGCTCGTAGGGACTGAGCAATAAGCCTGCTTCGTCACCCTTTCTGTGTGGGGTGAGATGATGAACTTTCCTCAAGGATCCACCAATGGACTTCTTATATTTTCTTTCCCCCTCCCCATTTCAGCCCTGCACCACAATCTGCTGAACACGTGGGCATATGAATGAGGCCTCTTCACTGATGACCGAGCCTAGATAATCCTAAGGGTCCATCAGCCCAGCCTGCAGCGGGGCACGACAATCAGAGCTGTGATTTTTGCCCCCCAGCAGCCCCCCTCCCACAGCCCTGCTTTCTCAGGGTACCTCTGGCTGGCCTCACTAGGACATTTCATAACAGCCTGGCCCCGGCACTCAATCTCCAAGCTGGTCTGGGCACCAGCACCACTGCCCAGCATGGGCAAGGAGGATTCAGTGTTTCTTGCTGCCCCAAGACTCCCCTATCACCCGCTGTGCCTCAGCATCCCCCTGCAACCCAGTCAGAGGCTGACCAGCCCCCTCAGACCCTCAAGCTGCCTCCCACCCCATCCCTGCATGGAGCCAGCCCAGCCCCAAAGCCTCCGCTCCCCCAGGCACCGCCCCACGCCACAGTCCCACACTCTCCTGCCTCGCAGTGCAGGGCTCTCCATGCCAAAGGAGGAATATTTAGACAGCAGAGAGAAACGTCCTGACAATTTGGGACACTCAGGAGCCCTCATTCTTGCCTCCCAATTGTTATAGTGCAGGTAATAGTAACATTGCCAAAATTCTGTGTTGTTTCATCTCTGAACAAGACTTAAATACCGTTACACATTGTCCTAAGCACTGGCAGAAAATTACAGGGTCTGCCCACAGGTTCTCCCGGGTCCTGCATGATTTCCCCTCTCTGGGACCCCTGTCCCCAGGCTGGGGCTTTCCATGCCTGCCTCTGCACCGAGCCGAGCGGCAAGGCGAGGAGGCTTGGCTGATCTCTGTGTGGTCCTGGGTGAGGATCTGACATGCAGAGATGAATTCACGGCTGTAAATGCACCCTGCAGCCCCACAGACGCTCACTTTGCTCCACCATCCATCACGTAAAGGGCACTGGGCTTTTGCCAGGCTATTTTCCCTGTCAGGAACGAATGTATATTAGGCTGTTAATTAAACAGCAGCCAAGCTGCACTCGGACATGATTGAGCCCACAAGGACCTTTCAAACCAATATGCATTTATAAAAGGGGCCCCTCCATGGAAAAGCAGCCCTTGGGCTTCGTGGAGTGGCAGAAACTGCTGGCTTGGATGCGTGGGTTGGCAGGGCAGGCAGTCGTGCTGCAGGGTGTCCTGCGATGGAGGCAGGCAATATAAAGAGCTATAATGATATAAAGGGATATAAAGTCAGTCTGAAAGGCCCGTGCCATGGATGAATGCCCTTCCAGAAAAGGGCTTTGCCTTCTAGAGGAGTGTTTGTCCATGGCACGGGCCTTTCAGATGGATTTTTCGGCCATCAAAGAGTCTTTGGAACAATTTCTAACTTCGGGGCCTCATCCCCAGAGCTCCTGCCCTTGTCTCTCTGGCTCTGGGCAGCAATTCTCCTCCCAGCAGGAGCTCAGAGCAGGTTTCTGCCAGGCACATTCTCTCCGGGGAGGCACACAGTAAGTCACCCAGACTGCACCCAGGGAAGCATCATGGGGCTCGCAGCCCAGGAGCACCTCGGGGTGCGCCACTCAGAGCAATGTCTTGCTCTCACCCCTCCAGACGCTGAAATCATCTATTCCTGACCACACTCCTACTGCATCAGGCACTCAAGGACTTCTCCAAGTGACTCTGTACACAGCCTTTCTGACCCCAGGATCTGAAAAGAAAATGCTTTACAACGGAAGGACAGCAATGTGTGTGGGAGCTCTGCCTGCAAGTACAGCTGGCTGGGGCTAGGCGAGCCGCCTGAAGGTTTTGCACAAGCAGACCAGAGTATCGGGAGATGCTGAGAGCCCAGGGACAGGCACAGCAGAGATGTGGCTGATCAGGTACAAGAGCTGCAAACACAGCGCAGTGTGGACGCAGAAAATCCCTGCTTGGGAGCTGAAGGCCCCACCAAGCCCCGACCCAACACGGAGAAGCAAAGCCCTTCCAAGGAGGCACGACGTACATCCAGGCTGCCAACCTCAGCACTATTTCTCAATATTAGAAAGAAGGAAGGAAGGAAAGAAAGAAAGAAGGAAGGAAGGAAAGAAAGAAAGAAAGAAAGTAGGAAGGAAGGAAGGAAAGAAAGAAAGAAAGAAAGAAGGAAGGAAGGAAAGAAAGAAAGAAAGAAAGAAAGAAAGAAAGAAGGAAGGAAAGAAGGAAAGAAGGAAGGAAAGAAAGAAGGAAAGAAAGAAGGAAAGAAAGAAGGAAAGAAAGAAGGAAAGAAAGAAGGAAAGAAAGAAGGAAAGAAAGAAGGAAAGAAAGAAGGAAAGAAAGAAGGAAAGAAAGAAGGAAAGAAAGAAGGAAAGAAAGAAGGAAAGAAAGAAGGAAAGAAAGAAGGAAAGAAAGAAGGAAAGAAAGAAGGAAAGAAAGAAGGAAAGAAAGAAGGAAAGAAAGAAGGAAAGAAAGAAGGAAAGAAAGAAGGAAAGAAAGAAGGAAAGAAGGAAAGAAGGAAAGAAGGAAAGAAAGAAAGAAAAAAAAATCAGCACCGCCACCAGTCTCTCGGCACAAGACAGAGGCCACCCCACCTTCAATGCCTTCAGATGAGGTGCTCAGAAAAGCAACCAGAGCAGAAGGAAGCTCTGCCATGTGCTCCCTTGGGAGGTTGTGAAGAACAGGAAAGCCAAGTACTGCTCAAGAAGGAACTAGGTATGGCAGACCTTGCCTTAGCACAGACCTCCTTGGGCAGCTCCCCCAGCACCAAGATGTAATGCCCTCCAGTCTGACAAGTCCCCTTAGTCCCACTCCCTTTTCTCCATCGCATCCACGCTTACAGAGCCAGGGACCCTCAGGTTTGACAGCCCAGGGTGAGGTACCGAGAGACACATCAGCGTTAAGAAGCCCCTGTCAGGGAGACGGGGCTTAAAGAAATCTGCTCTTGGAGAAACTGCTCCTGAATTTCCAGGGCTCCAGGTGCATGACAGGCTGCCTGGGGGTCACACAGGGAGACCTCACTTGGGGTAAAACAGACAAGTGTCACCTACTGCCAGCTGGCCCTGCACACATCTCTCTATGTGAGCATTTTCTGGGACAGAAGGAGCAGTTATTCTCTCTGCCCCCTCATTTAAAAAGGGCTTCTTTCGTGGCAGCGAAACAATACGCTTGCACTTCAGCTCTGCCTGTCTTTACAGGACCTGACTCAGGACTGCAAAGCGCTTGCAGGGGGGTGACCCAGCCCCACCTGGGCAGCTGTAAGCAGCATTTGGGGCAGGAGCAGTTATAGAGGGTTAGAGGAGCTGGGAGAACACAGAGCAGTTATCAGGAGTTATCAGGATTAGATTCAAAGCACCACAAGGAGAGAAAAATAACAGAGGGGATGACAGGAGCGGGGGTGTTGTGGACAGAAGCCATCGTTTTGTGAGGTACCTGCACCCATGCTGACCTGTGAGCAGGGAAGGGGGAAGACGGGGTCCCAGCTACTCTGTCCCCCGGCCCAGCACCATGCATTCGGCCGTGCTCACCCTCTGCTGACAATGAGGCGCAGGGCATCCAGGTTGCCGTGGTAGGCGGCCCATAGGGTCGGGGTCATGCCATCCTCGTCCGGCGAGTTCAGGTCCTTCTTGGTGGCTTCCTTCAGGAGGTCCAGGTAGCCATCCCGGGCTGCTCGGTGGTACTGGTCATTCATGGTGCGGAGCAGTCCCCGGGCAAGCGCATGAGTGCCCGGGGGGCTCAGAGGATGGGCATGGAAGTGGGGAAGGGGGAGCTGGCAGGAGGGCCCCGCTGGTCTCGCACAGCGCTGCCGTACCAGGACACCTGAGAAGTCCTGGCCGGGGAGGCAGGAGCTCCTCCAAGTCCAGCCAGCCAGGCGCTCCAGCGCTTCCCCTGGGTCCTAAGCATCCTCCAGCCCCGATGGCTCCTCGCAACAAACCTTTCACGCACCAGCTCATTAAAAGCTCCAATTAAGCAGCATCGCTGCGCCAGGCTCAGCCGAGGGCTGTGGGCACAGGGCTACACGTCCCTTAAGTGGAGCAGGCTGCCAGAAA